AGAGCAGCAGGACACACTCTCCCTCCTGGGAGCACAGAGCTGATGGAGAGAGAACGCTCCCTCACTCTACCAGTATTTATCTGGGGCCTGCCCTGCAAAGTACACAGCTTCTCATAAAGCCTTGTGTCTCTGAGGCAGCCAAACATAATATTTCCTGGGTTGAAATCTCACTCCATTATTTATAAGCAGTGTGACTGTGGACAAGTTACCTAAACTCTCTGTGCCTCAATGACCTCCTCCATAAAATGACACCAACATGAGGAATAAACTCAGCAGACTGTGAGACCCAAGTAAGATAACAGCTGTGAAGTGCTCGGGAGAGGGCCTGACACAGAGTAAAAGCTGGGTAAGTGTTAACAACTTTATTCTCCTTCACTGCACACCCACGGAGCTGCAGCCAAATTCTGCTAAGTCAGGTCATTTTGAATACTGGCTCCAGGCCCTGCTCATTTTTTCTGCAAAGGCAGGGGAAGCCATTTGATGCCACTTAGACTGTTCCGGCTCCTGTAAAGCCTCAACTTTCTAAATCATCATAGGCTGTGACATCTCTCCTTTGGGTAAGTTTTGGAGCCCATATTTTCAAGCATGGTGGCCCCTTTTCCCTCCAGATATGATGTCATCAGATTTGGCCAGTTTGTTTCCTAGACTCCCCATAAATCTAGGAAAAGATACTGGCAATAGAGGCTACTCTTCTTTTGTCCTGCTCTACTTGGGTTATTTCCCTTCCCTGAAGTTGCTGATTAGTGATGTAATGCAACCTACTGTTTCTGTGATCTTAGAATGCAAGTTCTAGGAACCTAGCTGGTGAAGTATAGGTTGGGGTGTTATATTCCTGACAAGCAAGTCTTCCAAGAAGATCTTCCAGGGCAGGGTAACTTGGATCTGGTCCCCCACTCTTCTCCCTACCACACATCAGGCACAGTCAATGGAGAATTTTCTGTCCTTGTGTGTGTGCATGTGTGTGCGTGTGTGTAGGGGGGCTGGCAGTTGTGATACATTATTGGTGTTGAAACCCATGCCATCATCAAAATAAAATTTTCTGAGATAATCCATTCCATAACAGATTTCTTTAGCCATTTAGAAATTCCATAGATGCAGTAACATTTTTTTTTACATGAGTCAAAAAACAAAACAACTTTCTACTTGGAAAAAGAAATGCCAGTATTTCATCTCTTAGCCCCTTCATCATCATCATCATAATGCATTTATCAAGATGAAAAAATCAGGAGGAACAGAAGCAAAGCATGGTTAGTTATACTGACTTAGTTACATTTTTAATTCACATTGAAAAGGCTTTTTTCGGGCCGGCCCGGTGGCGCACTGGATAGTGCGCCGCTTGGGAAGCGTGGCGGCGCTCCCACCCGAGGGTTCGGATCCCACATACAGACCGGTTCCCGCTCACTGGCTGAGCGAGGCGCGGGAGCAACACCGAGGGTTGCAATCCCGTTGCCGGTCCCCGGTCCGGTACGGGGGCAACACTGAGGGTTGCGATCCGTTGCCAGACACGGAAAAAGACAAAAAAAAAAAAAGAAAAGGCTTTTTTCATTTAGTCAAAAAGGCTTTAGTCAGCAACAACAGGTAACAGATTCTAAAAGGCAGAATGGTTCTATGTATACAGAGTGACCGAGGGCTCTGAGGCATGGAAACTTGACTTATTTAGAAATAAATAATAGCCATGAATTGGCACAAATAGATGTGGCTGATGGCAGCTTGAGCTCAGAGGGCTGTGGGTTCAGACCTCAGCTCTGCTGCTCATTCCTGTTCACTTGAGCAACGGGAGCCCTGGGAAGCCTGAGCTGCTGCATCTGTAAAACGTGAATGCAGGTCAATCGTGTCTCTTCCCAAACCCTTGACGCAGATGAATTTCAGAAATCAGGATTTCCCAGATTGTAGAAAGGGCATACAGTGTGTATATCTTATGTTGGGTGTCCTCTCTCTCCAGCACGGTCTGGGACAGCCCTTTGCAAAACATGTTAATATTTTTGAGGCAAAATATATTCACACTAAATGGGATAAACAAAGATTGTCAATAGCCTTCCTTCAGTTCAGGTCAAGTGAGATTTTTGCCACCAAATGAACTAACGAGAAAACTTTCAAATATTAGCACTTTTTGGCTTTTGGGATTATCAATAAGCAATTGTAGACCTGAACTGCCTTTCTTCCAGAATGGCTGGGAGGATTAAATCAAACGAATTGTGTAAGTATCTGGCACATAGTGGGAGTTCAATAAAAGGTATTTATGATTTAATATTAACTAATACAAATTATTTCAATGGCATATGTTGTCAAAAAATTATTGTGTAAACATTCAATCAAATAAAATGTTCTCTGGTGTCGCTACCTAAGTGTCTACATGTAGCAGGTTCCCTGCTTGGGCTTTCCAATGTCTCCTCCCATCCACTTGACAGTTTCACATGGTGGCTTTATCATTCCCCTTTTATAAATAAGGTACTTTAGGTCCCAAGAGGCTGACATATATTTTCCAAAGTCATAAAGCCAGTAGAAAACAGGGTAAAGGTTGAACCCAGGATTCTCTCTGACTTCAGGGGCAAAATCGAGGCATTCAGGTTATTTCTGGGATAAAATTCACCAAAAAAAATATATATATATTTGGGAGGCAGACTCTGTGATAAGGGATTCCAGGAGTCAGTGCTAGGCCCGGGAGGCAGGCCTGTGGGGACCCTGCCCCGTGCCCACTGCCAGCATGGTGTGGCTGATCTGGGGGTGGTGAGGCTCAGTCTCCCCAAGTGGCCAACTTCCAGTTGTTTCCATTTTCTTCCTTCCCTCACAAGAAACTCCAGGAGCAGAGAATTTGCCAGTGAGAAGCCTTTTGGGGTCTGCTTCTGCCTCAATCTACTAGGCCCTCTGTTGACTCTCCGGGAAGGGGCATTTAGGGTTCCTGAATATGTGACTTTTAAAATTCTATCAGACCACCATTTCCTTCCGTGGCTTTGGTCCTCTGCCTACCCTCACGGCTCCTCTCCAAGGCATGCACTTGCCAAATGCTTTCTAGGTTCTTTGTGAGACTGTAAGGTCATCTCATCTCTTCTGTTCGTACCCGATAAATCCCCACTCCAAAACAATATTCTTTGTTTTACTATTTCTCCCTCCTAGACTGAAAATAAGGGACTTCTTTTTGAAGTAGCACCATCAGGCCTTACCAGAAAGCAAGTCTTCTCAGACAGTCACCTCGTCCTTTCCCATGCCTCTTACAAGCCTGGATCTCTTCAGATCTAGCTGTATCCACTGGCTGTCCTGCCCGCCATTTCAGTCTCAGGGTCTAGCACAGGGCCTGGCACACACAGGCCGACGTCCACAGGTAACGGCTGGACCATGACATTAGGTTTCACTCCTAGAGCTCCCCATCCCGTCTTCTTGAGCATTCCCCATGGCTAGGGTTGCCCATCACTTCCTCTGGGAAGTCTTCCTTGAATTCCTCCAGTCTTTAAAGTTTCCCCTCCCAGATCACCTATTTTGCTACTAAACATGTTTTTAAGTAGTTTTGCATGTGTTGCCGGCTAGACTATGAACTCCTAGAGAGCAGACACTGCATCTTCGTTATCTTTCTGTCCTGTGTTTACCACAGACCTGAGTACGTTATCTGGACTACACGAATTCTGCAATTACTCTTAAATGTGGGCAAGCCCCTCATGAAAGAGGGAATCCATCATAGTGAGTGAGGCTTTGCCCGAGTTTTCCAAGTAACTCAGGTACACTGGAGTTTAGGACGCCATGAGGAGGGGCTACAGACACCTGACTCGAGGGTGCTGCATTTCCTAAATAGCTGACTCTTCCACCTTTCTTTAGTAGTAAAATACCCTGGCCTTGGAGAAGGAAAGGGAAAGAAGCTTATCAAAAAGAATATCACTATTCATAAGTCAATCATTAGCTTTCAACCAGGTCAAAGAATCTTTTTCAACTGTGGTCTTTTGGCACCAGGCCTGGGTGACTAGGCTGGTTGTGGGCTGGTGACCTCTTCAAGCAGCAGAGAGACAGGAGGGCTGATCCTCCCCACTGGGCATCCAGTTCCTTGGGGAATGGCATGGTCCTGTCAGTTTCTCTCCCTGGAAGATGCTGAGGACCTCACAACTCTGGGATTCTTGAAGTCAAACCCTAACATAAGTGTGGCTTGTGGGGTGATGGGGTAGGGAGCAGGGCTACTTTAACTTCCAGAGCTGGCTTCTCTCAGGCACACCTTGCACTTCAGGACTACACTCACCATTTCTTCCTTTACCTTTTCATTCAACTAAACCAGCATTCATTGAGCCCGTCACAGGGACAAGGAACAGTGACAAATTGTGGAAAATTCAAAGATGAAAAAGACTGACCCTAACAGAAAACTGGCAAGAGGGACCTTGAGGTAAAAATCCTTATCATGCCATATAGATAAACTTGAATTCCAACAATATACTGAAGACTTCCTATGAGGCAAAGGCTGTGCCACATGTTGGGGTCCAGAGGTGAGGACAACCTCAGTCCTCCAAGAACTTGCTCTCCAGAAGAAAGTGTAAGCCCCTGGCACAAGGTGGGCCGATGACACATTCCTGCTCTCTTACTTCTCACTGAAGATCCCTGAGAGTTAACAGTGTGAACGTGGTGGAGCCTGGCCCAGGCGCACGCCCAGGAACCTGTCGGTGCTATCTCTCCAGGCTGGAGGTGGCCCTCTCTAGCTGGAGGTCCTGAACTGGAGAAGTCATCCACAGAGGTGGCCCCACACCCTTGCAGGAGCAGGACAGAGAGCTCCGGCCCCTTCCATCAGGTTCTGGTGGAGAGGGGTGCGTGGGAGCCATGCGCCTAGATGGAGAAGATTGGGAGACCCCTGGATGGAGGGCTCTGGCTGTACCTGGATAGAGGTAGCTGGGATGGGCTGGGACAGAGGGGTCGGACACGTCGTGATGGAAAGGGCTGAGGGACGCCTGGCTCCGGGCTGCGGTCCTTGGCCCTGTGCCTCTTGGCTGCCGGCGAACTGCCAGCGCCCCACCCTCGGCCCGGCCACCCACCTGGGCACGCCCTGGCGTAGTCGAAGCAGCAGTCCCCGGTGAGGAGGCAGGCTTGGTCGCAGAAGCAGGTCCCATAGACCCTGTCCAGCCTCCAGCCGCGGGCAAAGCAGGCAGGGTCCCGGCCGGGGCAGCAGCGCCCGGCCTCGGCGCAGCCAGCCAGGGCCCCGGGCCACAGCCGCGCCAGCGCGCACAG